CTATTCCAAGACTAGAACTATGTGGAGCTGTCCTACTGGCAGAAATGATCGACGTACTGCTCCCAACGCTCGATATTCCCAACTACTCCGTATTCTGCTGGTCAGACTCCACAATAGTTCTTTCCTGGCTTTCCAAACCGCCATGTCATTGGTTAACATTCGTAGCCAACAGAGTTTCCACTATCATTCAAGTGGTAGACCCTTCCAAATTCCATCACGTTCCGTCCGAATCAAATCCTGCTGATTTGGCAAGTCGCGGTCTGTCACCTCAGGACATCGTTCAAAATGATCTCTGGTGGTTCGGACCTTCTTGGCTTCGGGAATCCACAAACCGATGGCCAGACCGTGTTCATATTCAAGAAACGTGTGTGGAACGTAAACCCCTGAAGGTTCACTTTTCATACTTCGAAGATTCCGCCGATATTCTTGAGAACTTTTCTTCCTATCCACGTTCGCTTAGAGTGTTTGCGTATATTCATCGATTCTTCCGCCGAACACATCCACGACTTCGCGCTAATTTCATCGAGAATACTCTACTTGTTTCCAGTTCTGAAATACTTGTGGCGCGAAATCTACTGATCAAATGGTACCAGAAATTTCATTTTCCTAATGAGTACAAGGCATTATCCGGCAAGCAGCAAGTTTCACCATCAAGTTCCATTTTAAGTCTAAATCCATTCCTAGACTCCGATGGTGTAATCCGTTCCTGTGGGCGATTAGATTCTTCTCCAAGTATTCCATACGAGGAGAAACGCCCAATCATCCTTCCATACAGCTGCAAATTTGCTCGGCTTTATGTTGATTTTGTTCATAAAATCACTATACATGGAGGAAATCAATTAGTTCTTCGAGTAATAAGATCCCAGTATTGGATTCCTAAAGTCAAGAACCTCATTAAAGCTTCTATCCATAAATGCAAGCCTTGTATCCTGTATAAGAAGCGCTGTCAGAAACAGATAATGGCTGCTCTTCCTCCTGAACGTACAGAGCTTACCCGTGCATTTTATCGCACTGGACTAGATTTTGCTGGTCCCTTCGATATTAAAACTTATTACGGACGCTCATGCCGTATAACAAAGGGATACGTATGTGTGTTCGTATGTTTTTCCACTAAAGCAATACATCTCGAAGCAACGTCCGATCTTTCCACTTCCACCTTCTTGGCAGCATTTCATAGATTCGTCTCTAGACGAGGATGTCCTGCACATCTTTATTCCGATAATGGTACAACGTTTGTGGGAGCGTCCAAAGTCCTGGCGAAAGAGTTTATTCAAGCTTCTCGTTCCGCTGTTATCTCTAATTATTCCGTGCAAAATCTTAGCTGGCACTTCATTCCGCCTGGGGCTCCTCATATGGGAGGGCTCTGGGAAGCCGGGGTTAAAAGTTTCAAAACCCATTTCAAAAAGTTTGCCGGCTCATTCAAGTTTACGTTCGAAGAATTTCTAACGCTTCTGACCAGAATTGAAGCCTGTTTGAATTCTCGTCCTCTCTCTCCTATTTCCTCTGAGCCAACAGATTTTGCCGCATTAACTCCTGGCCACTTTCTAATAGGCACGCCTATTTTAGTCCCTGTTGATCCACACCTAGAAGACAGTCCAATTTCATTAATCAACAGGTGGCAGCGACTAAAAGCAATCCATCAGAGTTTCTGTGCTCGTTGGAAGACTGAATATCTCCGAGAACTCCAAAAACGTTATAAATGGCAAACATGTGAGAAGGACATTGAAGAAAACACACTGGTCGCAATTTATGATGATAATCTTCCGCCAAATTCCTGGCGCCTTGGTCGAGTTTGCAAGACTTATCAAGGTTCCGATCATCATATCCGTGTTGCAGATATTATAACTCAAAAAGGGGTTATTACACGCCCTATCACTAAGCTTGTCGTCCTTCCAAGCCACTAAATTCATATTTTCTTCTTTCCCTTCTCTGTCCTTTTGTCCGCATTCTATTTAGAACCATGCCCAAACATTCCGCCCCCAAAGGTCAGCGCAACCACAACAAAGCCCCATACCAAAATGGGAAATTCTTGTGCCGGCTCTGTCAGCGTCCCCATTCCTTACGTCGGTGCCATAAGTTCCTGGATATGGACATGACGGAACGGTTCGAAGTGGTGCGCAAGCACAAATATTGCGTGAATTGTTTGGCCCTGGACCATTCCCATGGTTCGTGTTTCAGTGACACCGGCTGTCGCCACTGTCACAAGTACCACCACACACTGCTCCACGTGGATCCAAAGCTGCGGGCCCAAATCCTTCCACCATCTCCTAAGTCCCGATCGGAATCTAGGTCGGTTTCACCGCGACCATCAACCTCTAAAGCTCGGCGAGTACCAAACAGGCCTTCATCGTCCTCAGCAACCTCGCATAACCCGAAGGGATCTCTCACATCCCTGATCCAGCAAAATCGGACCATTTTGCTACCCACCGTCCTGGTAAGGATAGATGCAAAGAATGTGGCGCGATGTTTGTTGGATTCCGCCTCTCCAGTAAGCCGTGTGTCGAGGAGCTTTGTGGAGAAAATTAAAGTCAACACCTTGACATTAAGAGAGGAGACAGTGTGCCAATTGACTCTGTTCTCAAGATTTGACTCCAAAGTGAAAATCGAGGGCACCTTTCGCGTGGATAATCGGATCACCACAAAGACGCCAGCCGAATCCCTGCCCGACGACTTCAAAAAAAATTTCCCCCATCTTTTCTTGGCTGATCCGAAATTTTACCAGTCATCGGGAATAGATATCGTCATAGGCGTCGATATCTACCCGAAAGTAATTTCGGAGGGGGTGTATGCCAGGAATGGGTTACCAACTGCCCAAAGTACCGTTTTTGGGTGGGCCATCTATGGGCTATGTTCGTAAACATGTCAATTTTTTCGTTTTTAAAAAATTTTGACTGAGTTGAATTAATAAATTGTTGAATTCCTTAGAATGCACTATTGTCTTTCTTTCCCCAAAAAGCACAAACTTTCCTTTTCAGCTTGTACGTTCCGAAGCAGGTGCGTGTTCCTGATTCCATGTGGTCTGACGACAGAAACCTACATATGTATTTGGTCATCTTCATAAAATTATCCTAGTATTAAATTAAATTCATTTTCATTCCATTGCTTTTGTAACCAGACCAGGACATACACGGATCAAATTGATTATTTTCCATTGCAGACGCACTGCAAGGGGGCCGGTGATGTAAATACGAAATTCTTCGATCTGGCAACCCTAATTCTATCTCCTAAATTTCGAGTCGATCCACAAGCTTTGCTTTTGTTTGTGTCGCTCAATTACTCAAAATGTCCGTTTGTGTCCTATCTGTGGCTTTTCAATTTTCCTTTTTCCTCAATAAAATCACTTGTAAACCAACCTACAATCAGAACTGTTGTTATTGGTAAGCGCCGTTCAAATTTTGCAATTTGAATTCCAAATAAAGAACCATAATTGTTCTTTTCCCCAACATCAAACTTATTCCATTGTTTTATTTCTTTTTCTTCCATTTTTTCAATCCCAAACCGAGAGGAAAATATTTCTACTCCAAGGAATATTTTTCTGTCCACAAACAGCAGAATAACAATCCAGCATTTTCTAGGAAAATACCCACAACTTTGGCATTTTCAGTCTCATTACATAATATTTTAAAAACAGTGAATTTCTTAAATAATACTTTTTTTTTTTAAAAAAAAAGAGGTCGAGCTAAACCATTACCGTTTTTATACCTCCACCATAGTATGGAGGGTATATTAAGTTTGTCATTCCGTTTGTAACGCCTCGACATATACCTTTTAGACCCCACAAAGTATATATATTCTTGATGATCAGCATAAAATTTTATGTCGATTTTGCGATGTCCGTCCGTCTGTGGAAATCACTCTAACTTCCAAACGAAATGAAATAGGTTGATAAAATTTTACGCAAATGTAAATTATATCTGCAGGACTTTTGATATTGAAAATAGGCCATGTAGGTCCACGTTTTGATATAGCCCCCATATAAAGGTACCTCCCAATATTTAATACTTTGATGATTTTAGCGACATTATTCACCGGAATTATTTCAAATTTGGTATTTGAATTTCGTAATGGATACTACAGCCTATGACAGAAAACTGTCTGTGCAGGACCACGCCTTCGTATAGCCCCCATATAACGGTACCTCCCGATATTCGGTATTTTGATGATTTTAGCGACATTATTCACCGATTTTTTTTCAAGTTTCGAATTTGAATATTGTAATGGCTTATGACAAAAGCGGCCTATGCAGGTCCACGTCGTCGTATAAATACAGCAGCTACATTCGGTATTTTTAAGATTTTAACAGAATTTTTAACGGATTTTATTTTTGAGAAAATTGCCAAATTCGTTCCAAATGGTGGAGGGTATTTAAATTCCGTATATATCCTAATACTGCGGCTACATTCGGTATTTTTAAGATTTTAACAGATTTTTAACGGATTTTATTTTTGAGAAAATTGCCAAATTCGTTCCAAATGGTGGAGGGTATTTAAAGCTTTTTTACTTGTTGTAATCTAAATCGTGTTTACATGGAAATATCTGTGATATATATTTAGAGATGTTTGGGGATAAAGCGTGGAGATTTTAGGGAAAACTTATTGAAGGTTTTTCCTGCATTTTGTAGTTATATATTTGAAAATAATAAATAATTAAATTTTAACCAGTCTTTAGGGCTACGCCTCCGACTTCTAAGGAACATTTTGGAGAGTTTTAGGGGGATTTTTTAAGTTGACTTTTTAAAATAATATTTCTAAAATGCGGATTTTAAAAAGATACTTTAAAAGTTTAAAAGGAACCACAAGCATAGATTTTGGAAAATTATTTTAAATAGTTTAACGGGTCAGTTTTCTGTGGGATATTTTTAAAGGTAAACCGTTAAGTCTTCAAGTGCAAATTGTTTAAATTATAATATCTAAAGTCCTGTATTCTAAAAAAGATATATATCTTGTCTTATCCGATGTAGAAATCGTGAATTCATATTGAGACCCTTCGACACTACTTACATCTTTAATTTCATTGTGTTGCTGTTGTAAACTCTGTACTGTTGGCTGTGCGGCTGAAGGTATTGTAATGGCTGGACTAAATGTGGGACTTGGTTGTGGGCTTGGAACTGATACGGGAGTGCTGCCAACAGGTGGTTGTTGCTTTTTTCTTAAGGAGTCCTACAAAAAAGAAGAGAAATATTAGTAAAAAAAAATAAAACAATATCACCAGCATAATTGAAATTGAAAATTACATTACCTTGTAACAAACTGAGCACAAACCATCTGTGGCTGGATTGCCATAGAAGCCGCAACCGGAGCGGCACATAGGTTGCATCGGATTTGATTCACGTTCCATTGCTTTGTTTTGGTTTTGGTGTGTTGTGGTGGTTGCAGTTGCTGTTGTTATTTACGCTGCTGATATATTTTTTTGTTTTGTTAATTTAGTTAAATTGCAGTAATTCTTCGCCCAGCGAAATTCTTAATGCGGTTAAAAAGGTAATTTGTTGTTTCTAATTTTGTTGTTGTTGTTGAGTTAGTGATGTGAACTTTTTGCTTCTTCTTCTTCTTGTTTTTCTTTTATAATAAAAATTCTATATATATTTTCTTCACGTGAGGAGGGTAGTAGTGGTTGCTTGGTTGGCGTAAGAGATCAAAAAACTTGGCGTGATACAATTGTTGGATATTGCAAAAAAGTGTAGAAGAGCAAGAATGGGTCCCAGCTGTTTGTCTTTTTCAGTGTTTTGTTTTGTTTTAATTTAATTTTGGATTGTATTTACTTTGAGGAATTTTGTCGTTTTTCTAGCTCAATTCAATTTATAAAAAATATGTATGAACTAAACGTCGTTTTGTATATGTTTTGTGTTCCCTTTTTTAGTTCAATCAATCCAAAACAAATAATAATGCAAATTTATATTCTTGAGTACCGCTGGGTTCTGTTCTTTTGCTTTGTTTTCTGCTGCTGTTCTTTTTGCTGTTGTTGCTTTCAATTTCGAAATCTCTATGCCTTTCTCAATTTCCTCCTAACTGTTGTATCAGCTAATTTCCATAAAGTAATGCTCGCTTCGATGCTCCAAGGAATGAATGTCACTCCTCAAGTTGGACAAAAACACAAAAATGGTAATGCTGTTGCTGCTGCGACGTATGCGACAGATGTTTGTCGGTTGGCTGACTTGTTGGTGCTTTTGTTGCTGATGATCAATCAATCAAACCGGAAAGAAAAGGAAAATTGAAAGAGAAAACAAATTATTAATTATGAGATATTTATATTTGAATAGATTTTTAAAGGTATATTTTTGGAGCTTCCCAAAGCTCTCACAACGGGTTTTTAAAGAAGTACTTTCTGGGAAGTCGCTAAAGTGATAATCGTGAGTTTTTGAAACAATTTGGGATTATCCTAAAATAAAAACATGCATTTTCAACGTGTACTTGGCCTCATCAGATCGGCAGGGGAATTTATTTGAAGTATTTTCAAAGTTGAAGTTTTTAAGGGTCATAATCGTGTGTCTTAGGGAAAATATTTTGAGGCCTTACCAGAGATATAACTGTTGCTTCAAAGATATATTTTTTGAAACGTTGCCAGAGCCTTCTTGGAGCTATATTCCAGGATTTTAAAGCCTATCGCGAGTTATTTTCTTGGTTTTGTAAACTCTGTATTTTAAATCCTCGCTAGAACTTAATTAATAGAATTTAAGATATACATTTTTTGAAGCTCTACCAGATTGAAAATCGAGAATCTTTAAGGTTGATTTTTGATTGATTCAAGGCCATAATTCGTGCCAAAGGTGACCAATTCGAACAAATCGAAACTTATTATAAAATTTGATGATATTTCCTATATATATATTATATTCCTATATATATATATATATTATATATATATATATATATATATATATATATATATATATATATATATATATATATATATATATATATATAAATTATGGCGCTTGACATTGTTGCAGTTTTTTTTTTCTCACCCTTTATATATTTAAGGATTTCGAAACTATATAATTTTGGATTTTAGGGACATATTTTTGAAGGTTTTTTATAGTTTTCAAAGAATATTTCCGTAACTATTCTCGTGGATTTTTATATTTTTTACGTTTGGAACTCTAATGGATTTTTTTCGAAGAGATAGAGAGATAATTTTGTGGGTTTTAAGGGCTTGGTTCAGAGCCAAATTCATGGATCTTTACAGAAAGATATTTTAAAGGCTTGCCAGAGTTATTTTGCAAAAAATTGCTCATCGGAGCAACGATCTCCCACTTTTAAGACTGATGTTTTGAAATCTTGTCATTGCTATTTTCTTGAATTTATTAATGAATATAATTTGAAGCTTTACGAAATGTGTAGTCGATTTTGCCATGGAAAAGTTTTGCAAGTTTATCAGACTGAAAACCGAGAATTTTTAAAGATAAATCATGGATTTCAGAAAATACTTTTGAAGCTTCGTCCTATGGATTTTAGGGGATATTTTCTAAAGAGCTATTCTCCCAGATTTACAATCGTGGTTTAGAAAGTATTGGTTGAACGAATCGTAAACAGATCTGTAATCCCGAACTTTAGAGGAATACTTAAGTGATACAGTAGATATAATCCTGTATTTTTAAGGAATATTTTATTAAAATTCTTGAAGCCGCCTTTAGTTATGTCCAACACTGTATGCCCTGACAAAGAAGCTACTCCCCACCTTGCTTGTTATTATTAATTTTCATATTATTTACGATATTGTGTAACATATGTAAATGAGAGCGTGTGTATGTATGCGCGTGTAATTTGGCCTTTTGATGTTTTCCATTTTGTAAAACTTACAGCCAACGCCAACAACACAGACACAAAGAGAGCAACCCATCAATCAAGTATGTGTGTGTGTGTGTGGGGAAAATTAATAAAGAATATCGTAATGATATCGATTTAAATGAACGTACGTTTCCCCTCCAAATGAGTGGTGAATAAAATAAAGCAGCGCAAACAAGCAGCCTTCGTCTTCGTTAAACAAAAAAATCCAATTCTCGACAATTTAGAAAATGTCGTCGTGGTTTGGAGAGTTAGAAAGAGATGGAAAACAAAACTACGCAGGTCTGTGAAGAATATTAGAAGAGAAAAACAATAAAACAAAGAGTAAATGGTTGAGTTCAACAGAAATGGGAAATTGTTTGTGTGCAGCACTAGTCGAAATATGGACATTTATCTCACAATCCCCCTGAAAAATCTGAGATTGAAGCAATCTTGAAGCTAAATGCGAAGAACATAAAAGTTTAAACCGACCCATTATGGATCGGGAAGAATATATGGAATCTTTAAATGAAATGATAGGGAGATATATATGGGGGCACACAGTTCTGGCCTTTTTATAATTGCGAAGATGGAAAGTACCCAAAGGGCCCTGACAGAAAACTAGATATTAAGAAGGTAAGATAATATTAAAAAAAAATTGAAAATCTGTAATTTCGGCCTGGCCGAAAAAAAGCTGTAATTTTGGGCCATTTGGAACGAACTTGGCAATTTCCAAAAACAATAAAATCCTTTTGAAATACTGTTAAAATCTTAAAAATACCGAATGTAGCCGTTATATTAGGGTCTATACAACGACGTGAACCTGCATAGGCAACTTTTGTCATAAGTCATTACAATATTCAAATGCGAAACTTGAAAACATCGGCGAGTAATGTAGCTTAAATCATTTACATACCGAATATCGGGAAATACCGTTCTATGGCGGCTATACAAAGATGTGGACCTGCACAAACCATTTACTGTCTTAGGCTGTAGTATCCATTACGAACATAGAATACCAAATGCGAAACTTGAAAAAAATCGGTGAATAATGTAGCCAAAATCATCAAAATACCGAATATCAGGAGATACCGTTATATGGGGGCTATACGAAGACGTGGACAGACAATTTTCCGTCTTAGGCTTCAAATAAGACATCTCAAGCAATTTCGGTGAATAATATCGCTTAAAACTTCAAAATACTGAATATCGGCAGATACCGTTATATGGGGGCTATACAAAGATGTGGACCTGCACAAACCATTTACTGTCTTAGGCTGTAGTATCCATTACGAACATAGAATACCAAATGCGAAACTTGAAAAAAATCGGTGAATAATGTTGCTAAAATCGTCAAAATACCGAATATCAGGAGATACCGTTCTATGGGGGCTATACAAAGATGTGGACCTGCACAAACCATTTTCTGTCTTAGGCTTCAAATAAGACATCTCAAGCAATTTCGGTGAATAATATCGCTTAAAACTTCAAAATACCGAATATCGGGAGGTACCGTTATATGAGGGCTATACGAAAACATGGTTCTGCACAGACAATTTTCTGTCAGAGGCTGTAGTATACCAAATTTGAAACAATTCCGGTGAATAATGTAGCTAAAATCATAAATCATAAAATACCGAAAATAGGGAGATACCATTATATGGGAGATATACCAAAACGTGGACCGACATGGCCCATTTTCAATACAAAAAATCCTGCATACATAATATACATTTGAGCATAATTTTATCAAACTACTTCATTTCATTCGGAAGCTAGAATAATGATTGCCACAGACTGATAGACGAGTGGACATCGGTAAATCGACACAGAATTGTATGCTGATCAAGAATACATATACTCTGTGGGGTCTAAAATGTATAATTCGAGGTGTTACAAACGGAATGACAAACTTAATATACCTTCCATACTATGGTGGAGGGCATAAAAATCGACCACTCGCGCACAGATCGTTCGAAATTTTTTGAAAATTTTCCCTAACAGCTTCCGTAAGTATAAACTAAATTATTATTTATACTAAAATGCGTTGCATAAAAATTGTACCTCTCATAACCGTTAGAGCTAAGAAATTAAGTAAAATCGCAGGCAGGAATTATTTCCCTCTCTTTCTTAGACTGACTTGTTAAATGGAGCCACCATACCCACAATTTGGTGGCAGTTGGCTGGCATTATACTCTCAAAGGTCTTTTTGTGATTTGATTTCTCACTGTCACTCATTAATGTCTCATAAAATGAATGCCTTTTTTAATACCCACCACAACTATACCCCTCCCAGAGAGCTCTTTGTAGAAAAACAAACCACACAATTTGTCACCAACACCACCATCACCTCCTCCGCCGAGTTCACCTCCTTCTGGTTTAGTTAGTTGTCATCTGTTATTTATTAAATTTTCTCTCATTTTATCTAAGGCGGAATCCATATAATAAACGATGGTAGGGAACGAGAGGGGGGGGGGGGAGGCCTTTTACGACATTTAAATAAAGGAACGGCAGTCTCGGTGTACGTCATTATGAATTAAAAACAAGTAAGCAAAGGCTACAGTCGAGCGGGGCCGACCGTTGAATACCCTACAACACTACAATAAACGATACAGTTTATATAGGCGAGATACTCGAAAGAATTCCACAAGGTATTGTGACAAATAATAAAAGAAAACCATCAGGTTTCGTTCTCTAATGTTCAAATAATAGCAACTTAAACTAATTTGCTCATTTCCAGTTTATTGGTAGATGTTGCACGTAAATGGTCTTCCTAGATCTGGAACCAATATTTCCCAAAGACCTATAATCTCTCAGAAGTGACAAAAGATTAACATTTATTATTGGTTTTTGACTGAAACGCATCTATATGAGATACAGACATTTGACTATATTCTTTGACAATCAGCGTTAAGGAAATAGTCAGAAGTGCGTCTTTCCTGTATTTGTGAATTCTCCAAAAAGTCTCTGGAATGGACATTGTCGTATTTTGTCTACAAAAGTTGGCAAACTCCTTTACACATTGAATAATTTTGGATGGCCATCCAAAACTGCTTGGCTTTTGCAATGTCCGGTAATCCCTATTCAAATGTGCGTGAGGATCGGGCGATAATTACGAACTGCTGACAATTTTGCAGTTTTTTGGTCCATTTCAACCCCTAAATATAGGGCGATCATCTCCAAAAAGAGTAGGCTTCTATTCTGACCCTCATCTGATCCTCATGCAAAATTTCGTTAGGATCGGTCCATAAATGCGATCTGTATATGATATCCTGATATCCTAACTACTTAGTTTTGTTAGCTGTAGAAATATTACCAAATGTTTAATTCAAAATGAAAATATGCCAAAAATATGACAAAATTGAAAAAATATGAGAAAATGTTACAAAATCAATATTTTCATCTTTAGAGAGATATTTTTATGCGATT